GGAAAGTAAAAATCTATCTTCTGCGCTGGCTTGGGGAGGACGGGACAACTCCTTCCCAAAGGCGAGGCTTGCAAGGGAGTCCCACCAAACCCCTTCCATCGAGGGTGCTGCCTGCCAGGCCCCCTCTGCCAGCCTCTCATCTCAACCCTTCCCAAAACCCACTTCACCAAGAGAGAAGGCAGGGCAGAGCAGCGCCCAAAGCCTTTTCTTCTGAGCGATGGGGGCTACATAGCAAAACAACCAGTTCTTCCCCTGCAGCTCCAGCTGGACTCAGACCGGTAACAGGACAGACACCTCCACACTGTGGAAGCTGCCCCAAACCCACATGTGTTTGGGGTTTTGGGGTCCCCTCTCCTCTCTCAGCTCAAAAGGATCCAACCACTTTGGTCTGATGATCTCCAGGGATTAGAGGAAACCATCAGAAGACACTGCTGCGTCTGGATCTCTTGTGTCCTGCTACTCCAAGCACCTCCACCCCAGCTCAGATACAGCAGATACCCCCGGGTACAACTCACGCCCACTGCAAGGCAAAGGAAAACGGTTGATTTCAAAGAGCTCTTTGGTTTAACCGCTCCTTGCCCAGGTGTGCCCCTACAGCCCAGCTCCACCAACAGCAGATCTGCGTGTTTCCAGGCGCCTCAGCACGGCTACGGCCGGAGCAGAGGCAAACAGCCACTGCAGCGAGCGGGCAGGACCCTGCTGGCGTAAAGTCTCCCGGTACAAAGAAACCCACCCGTGCTCCTCGGTCCTGGTCTAGGCCAGGCTGACCAGCACTGGGAGCAGCCCTTCTCGTCACTAGCCCCCGTTTTTGACCCACTGTCCAAAGCCCTAATGCCAGATGTCCCATATCACCCAGCCACAGCCTTGCTGAGTCTCAGCAGGGACAAGGAGGAGATATTTATAAATGCTTATAAATATCTGCAGGGTGGGTGTCAGGAGGATGGGGCCAAGCTCTTTTCAGTGGTGCCCAGTGACAGGACAAGGGGCAATGGGCACAAACTGAGGCACAGGAAGTTCCATCTGAACATGAGGAAGAACTTCTTCCCTCTGAGGGTGACAGAGCACTGGAACAGGTTGCCCAGAGGGGTTGTGGATTCTCCTTCTCTGGAGATATTCCCGCCTGGACACGGTCCTGTGCAGCCTGCTGTAGGTGACCCTGCTTCGGCAGGGAGGTTGGACTAGATGACCCACAGAGGTCCCTTCCAACCCCTACTATTCTGTGATTCTGAGATGTGGACCTCGCCAGCGTGACAGCTCCACACCTCAGCCAGCCTCGAGGCACCGCGAAGGATGCCAGCTGCCTGGCCTGCACCCACCACCACCACCGTGTTCAACCGCAAGCACCGACCTTCACTTCGGGGTGGTCTGGGGCCACCCCACACAGAACGA